CGTAATCATCGAATGTCAAATTATCATTCACGCTACGACGTTATTCTTTACATCTTTCGCCTTTTTAATGTCCTTCTTGCCGTCCACTCTTATCGCGTACATCTTTGCTTTGAGTCTAACGAATTCAGTCATTAATATATCATAGTTTTCGTCCTTCATCCGGGTACTTTTTTTATTCGCGAGAGGCATACCGTACACGTTGTCCGGATAATCGTATCGAATAGCGATATTGTGTTTCATAAACATCGTCGCATTCTATATACAAAGAGACTGTCCATGTCGATGTACATGATTTTGCATTTGTCGCGATACATTGATGACATGTACTCGTGATGAAATTCGTATAAGCAGACTTTCGATATGTCGAGTATGCACATACGACGTAAATTAGCTTGTCGAATTTCACCTCGAGTTTGCGCATTTCGATGGCGATCAAATTTTCCGCAAAGACGCTGCAACTGTGAAAATTCGGTTTTGCAATCATTGCCTCCGCGCTATACCGTTTTGTTATTATTTTACATTAACGCGATTGCACACACTCTCCATGGTCTTACCGAATATCGCATTGTTCATTAGTTTATACAAATTTTTTTCGAAATCGTTTTTTGCGCGCGTTCTAAATTGTATATTGAGTTCAACATAATCGCGGAGCCATGGAAATTGAGCGAATTGTACTCGGTGGATCTTTGTTGCGCGAAGACTGTGACGTTGCTGCAGGTTGCAGTGGATGGATAACGCTGCGTACAACGTCGCTAGAAGTTTATCTTCGCTTGCCGGACGATTTATCGCGCGTTAGACAGAAAAGTAGATCAGTGTGTCGGTCGTGTAGATGCTGCAAATACTCGAGATCTACCTCGATAATATAATCGGTGGGTGAATCCGAAGCGATCGCGTTCAGTTCAAAGTTCGCAGCGTCTTCAACCCATTGAAATTCAGTATATATGGCAAAGATGACGCATCTATACAGATTATTCATCGTAGTACATCAAGTATGACAAGAGATCATTTCGATAGATCGAATGAACGCATATACTTGTTATTAACCGTATATCTGCCGGAACATTGAGACTGCCGCGTATATCGTGCTCGATGAACGATATACGACCACATCAATGTCGGTGAGCAACTCGAATCTTACACGTGTATGTTTCAGCATGGCGACCTACGTGAAACCTGACAATGTATAATAATGCGCGGGATTAAGACAGTAATTCGCAACTATTTCGGAAATTTTCGAAAATGTCAGCTATTAACAAGATATCAGTTTTCAAGTACAAATCACTGTACTCACCGATCATTCGGATGAAGAAATGCTGGAGTCATACGTTCACGATGTGAGCGTAATCGCTCTTGGATACGATATCGTCTGTCAACGAACTGAAAAATAATTCGCGCGGTAGTAGGCACGTGTCTTGCAATTTTTCGACGCAGTCAATGTACTCGTACGGAAAAGTACCTTTTCGTGAAGAAATCCTCCGCGCTGAGCTTGCAAAATTCGAAACGTACAATTTTTAATTTATCTTTGTCTTAATTTTACACAATTTTTCTGAAAATTCTTTTCATTTTTGTCTTTGATATTATCGGTATGTTTAATGAATGAAATATATTTATCGGAAATATCGTTATCGGTAGTACATCTACATGTCCATCGTATGCGGTAGCAATTTCTTTAATTATAAAATGCGCGTTGTAGCCTGATAAATTATGAAATACAATCGGAATATAGAATGAATTTTTATAATTTAAATTACAATTTGAATGCGCTGGACCGCGGTATCTACCAGTGAGATGACAATCGCGTCACGTATCGTCCGGCACGAATGGTTTCTTACAGATATGACAATGCATCGCGTTGCTACGCCTCCCATTGCTATTTAGACAACGTTTCCATGGGCAAGTTGGCGGATACGATATTTTTCACATCTACGATGTGAAGCAAATTGTTGAGTTATCGCGCGAACCACGTTATACAGTCTTTATCGCGACGGAAGTAATACGACGATAATGTGTCGTCGTACGCGCATACGTAATATCCTATGCTTCATGCCACTAACGCTTCATACCATTAATACGCAACGATGATCTTCCTTGTCGGATTTTGTCTTGCGTAAAACGCATTCCAGGTCAACATAGACGATGAACGGCACTCGTTCCCAGTTTTTATAGTTGCCGAATTTGAACCATCTGTCGTCCTCGCTCGACAGTTGGATCGCAGTCATTGATCTTCTAGCAGTTCATTTCGTGCGATTGCAATTTTTCGTATGAGCTGAAGTAATGGAGATACTTGTAAATACAGAAATCATTTTTTTTCGCTATATCTTTTTACTATTTTTTTTATTGGTTTTTTTTATCATACTTATCGGTCGCAAAAAAACTTCTTGCTCTTTTTCTTCACTATCTGCGAGCTTACGCGACGCAACAGGTTCTCGATCCACAAAGTGTCTAATATTGTCATTGCGTGAATCTTGTAAATTCAGATTGATACGTGCTCCTTTTTGTTATTGGTGAACCGCAGAAGACTTTATTCATTTTCAATGTATATATTAATCAACACCATGTTCAACAATTCGAATTTAGAAATTCCTTTTAATGTCATTGGAAATTCGATATCCGCGAGATTCAACACTGCAGTGTAATGCGGATATGATGACTCTCGCTCCGTATACTTTTCAGCCGGATACAAAACGGCGATCATCGATCACGCGAAACACGCATTGTCCATCGTACAAACACTGATCATCGTTTTGTCGCTATTTCCCGTGCAACTTCGATGTGACATCCTGCGCGCAGGAGATTTAATTTGCTCACGTTAACAGTCAAATTGAGGCGATAACGCCCAGTTGCAATAACGTCTATCCGCTGTCACATTTCTAGAACTCTTCGAGCGATGCTAGGATAAGCTCGACGATAGTGTCGCTTATATCATACGCGTATATTGGTGCATCGATATATTTCGCTGTTCTTTGTAATTATGCTCTTATTAGCACGTTAATCCTTCATTACGAACTCACCATTGAATGTGATGTTCACTTTTATACTACTGTGTTTTTCTATAGCGTCTCGAACTCGCTCTAGAGCTACATTTTCCAGCATCTTCTAAAAACCGCCGCGGCTCGATGTGATTAGAATTTATCACCACACCTGTCAATATACGACTCTCGAACGCGGCGTCGATCTTTCGCTAGACAAGAGATCGTTCATTGCCACCCGCGTACTCACCACTAATGTGCACAAAACATCGCTCCAATTGCGACTTTGCACCCGCGAGTCGCGGGATCCTCGCCACCATGGATTGTCTGTGTCCAACGGTAAGACGCGGACGCTTGGCAGGACAAAGTTCTTCGAGCTGTTCGATGCATTCGTCGTGTCATTGCAGCCACGCGAAACACTCCATTAGAATAGCGATCTGGCCGCACTGCTCCAACAATTCGCGTTTCATTCGCTCGTGATATTTCATGTCTTTTTTTTTTCTTTTTTTTAGATCACATCGCACTCTTACACGGAGCACTTAATAGTTTTGCAATGTGCGCAGATATATATATATATAATAGGCACATGCTGCACGGGAATACAATGTACATCAGCTCTCCGAGCACGACCACTTGCTGTCTAGTATATGGAAAGAACAGTCTTTGTACTTCCTGACAAGATACATCCTTTAACGCTAATATTTCGCAAATAAATCATATATGGTGGACATAAAACTGAGGTCATTATACGTTGTATAATAACAACAGATTATGCAGTGCTTAGTACGATGTTCAACGCACGGATTTCCGAAGGCTGCACAAATTTCTCTGCGTGATCCATATTGCCATCAACCATCGCTCAACCCAATAAGACATTTATATCGTTGGATTGTACTTTTTCGGACAACTCTTGGTCCATTATGTCCTCAAATTCTATTTCCATTGCTTCAAATAACTTGTCTGTATTCACATCATCCATGTCCTCAACGTCTGAACGTCAGCCGTACTTTTCGCATTACACTTGTTGCGATCGATTCGATATTACAAGGCATTAACTAAAGTGTCGCACGCTTATGACCATTATATATTCCATTTTCAACTTCTTTTTGTCCCTTTATCTACTTTTCCTATTTGGTCGCAGCATCGACGACGTGTCACCGATCTCTTCTTAGAAAAAATATTGTTGTCGATGCTTCTATTAACGTGTCGCGACGTGTCACCGATCTCGCGGTTCTTCTCAGATAAATATCATTATCAACGTTTCTGACCTTGAAAGAAAAAACTGAGAACGCACTACATTTACCTTTTCATCATCTACCCTTCATTGATGGACTTCATTTGTTTACCAGTCGGCCCATCGATGATGTGTCGCCGATCTCCTAGACAAAATATTTTGTCCACGTTATAGTATCGTGACGCATTTTAGGGTGGTTTTACGCGGCAGTGGTAGCGACGGCGGCGGCGGTCCCCAATGATATATGACGTCACAACATGGCGATGTATCGTGATATCGATAAATATCGATAGCGCTGGGATTTCACCGCGTCTTCCCCCTCCTTCCCTGCGTCTACGAATATCCCTGCGCCTTTCCCTCCCCTCGCTTACGAGTATTCCCCCGCGTCCCTCTAACCCCTTGGATTAGAACTCGCCTAATGTATCTATTAACATTGTATACATATTTTTTTATAACTAGTTTTTTATCTCGAAGCTATCGACTGAATCTATTTAAAACTTGATCGATCCAGCCGTAATTGAGATTTGTTCGCAAATCACCGTATAAAGATGGCATAGTCTCGTACTCATTTCTCGCAATACGCGTTCACTTAGCATGAAATACTACTGTGTCTATTGTTACATGAATAATAAGTAAATAAATAAATAAATAAATAAATAAATAGATAAATATTTATTCATTTCTATTTGAATATATTTATATAATTATATTTAAAGATTTATATCACACATGCTATTAAACTATATAATATTTGACAAACTATATGTTGAACATATGCAATATAGAATATTACTTACGATATAATAGTATTCCATTGTTGCGTTTTATTTTCGTATTGTACAATGTACTCTTTTATCTTTTCTTGTTCCTTGTTCAAATTTCGTAAAGTTTCTTCTTCTATCATAATCGTATTATGTAACTCTCGTCTGAATGTTTGTCCTACATTATTGAAATTATTGTTGTTCTAAAAAAAAAGTATTGCTGTAAATATATTAATATTATATAACGATAAAAATTATTTCAGAATTTTTATATATTAGGTGTACAACTTTGCTTCCGCCGTTTTCCTATAGATGGCTTTAGCGGTAAGTGGTGGTCGAAATAAATAGATCATAGACGTCATATAATAAACTTGGGCATCTGTCAACATAACCTCATAGAAACATTAGTCGATTTGTGTCTGCATCATAAAGTTATTCTCGATTGAAAATGTCAGTTTACGAGCCAAATTCTCGTCATTTGCGGAAGATTTTAATTTTTTGCTTCAATATGAAGAAATCGGCTGAGGCTCATCGAATGCTCTCAAATACTTATAGTGAGGCCGCTATTAGTAAAAGAACGTGTCGTGAATGGTTTCAACGCTTCAAGAACGGTGATTTTGACGTCGAAGACCGGTATAGCGGTGGAAGAGAGAAGGTTTTCAAAAATGCAGAATTGGAGGCATTACTTGAGCAAGACTCGTGTCAAAATCAAGAAGAATTGGCACGATCATTGGGAGTGACTCAACAAGCCATTTCAAAACGCCTCAAAGCCATGGGAATGATTCAGAAGCAAGGAAATTGGATGCCGTACGAATTGGAGCCGAGAGATGTTGAACGGCGTTTGTTTGCTTGTGAACAGCTGCTTGAAAGGCAAAGACGGAAAGGATTTCTGCATCGCATTGTGACTGGGGACGAAAAATGGGTTCATTACGATAATCCCAAGCGCAGAAAATCATAGGGAGTTCCCGGCCATGCTTCCACATCGACGGCCAAACCGAATATTCACGGCTCCAAGGTCATGCTCTGTATTTGGTGGGACCAACTCGGCGTAGTGTATTATGAATTGTTAAAACCGACTGAAACAATCACAGGCGATCGGTATCGAACGCAATTGATGCGTTTGAGCCGAGCATTGAAAGACAAACGGCCGCAATACAATGAGAGACACGATAAAGTGATTTTGCATGCTCGATCCCATGTTGCGAAAGTGGTCAAGACATACGTTGAAATGGGAAGTCCTACTCCACCCGCCGTATTCTCCAGACGTTGCTCCCTCTGACTATCACTTGTTTCGATCAATGGCACACGGCTGACCAGCACTTCCGGTCTTATGAAGAAGTAAAAAATTGGATCGATTCGTGGATAGCTTCAAAAGATGACCAGTTTTTTCGACGCGGGATTCGTTACCGGGGACGCTACCCGAAAGATGGGAGAAAGTAGTTGTCCAGCGATGGACAATACTTTGAATCATAAATGTATAACCAGTTTTTTACAATAAAGTCTCGAATTTCGGAAAAAAACGGCGGAAGCAAAGTTGTACATCTAATGTTTACCTCGCCTTCATTACGTAGTATTTTTTCGATAAGCGTTATTTTCGAAATTTTTTGTTGTAATTGTTTCTTATCCTTAGCATCCTACGATATAAAACACAATATTATTTTAACAATAAGATTGGAAACAAGACCGTTTAAATTAAATATATTACTTTAAATACGAAACATCATTATGATCTGAATGTTAAGATGTTGAATTATTATATTGAACTATTACATATATAAATGATAATTGCGTGCCGATATGATTGTCGGACTTTCAACGCAATCAATATTAATAATCCCCCCAAATTTCCCAAATTAATCTTAAAAAGCTGTAATAAACTTACTGCGAAAAATATTGCCTCGACCGGTCGAACTCGGATCTTTTGTATTCCGTGCGAGTAATATTTCAGATTGATTGCGTTGAAAGTCCGACAATCATATCGGTAATTATCATTTCTGAAATTAATTCATATTCATATTTATATGAATATATTTATATATAATAGTTCAACATTTTACCATAATATTCAGATAGTGGCGCTTCGTATTTAAAGTAATTATTTTAATATATTCACAAAAGTTAGGTGAATAAAAATATGCTGTGCAACACTTCATGCGTGAAAATATAAAAGTTTTGTATGTATATATATATAAATCGCATTCGATTTGTTATTGCAACTTATGTTTCAGCCGTATTTAGGATCATCGTCAGCGACACAAAACTTAAAAATAATCTATCAAAAACGACAAAAATAAAAAAGCAATTAAGTTATTAATAAATTAATAATTAATAATTAATTGACATATATTTAAGATTCAACAAAATTGTAACAAAATTCAACACAATTGTATACAAAATTTAAGGATATATGCGTCATTATAAAGATTTCGCGGGTTTCTTCCGTGTTCAGATTCATTTCTGGAATGCCAACGTTTCGTGAACCTTGCAGTTCACTTCATCAGGACGAGGAGTAGCCTGATATTGAGCTGTTCTTCTGTACCATTCCCCTTTTATATATTACGCTACTTGTTAGAGTGATGGAGGAAAAGAAGAGAATTTTGGATGGGGAGAGGAGTGGGAAGGGGCAGTCCTCATTAACCGGGAGAATAGTTTTCCATATTTTATTTATGTTGTAGCCATTATCTCTATTTAGATTGTTAGAGTGTTTTTGTATCTCTATGGCTTCTCTATGCTTTCTTGGAAAGTATGATGTAATGTTGGCTATTGTAGTTATTTTATCAAACAGTATTTGCTGTCTTGTTTCGATGTTGTGTTCCGATAGTGCTGATATGTTTTAATCTGACATCACGTTGGTGTTCTTCGTCATTTTTACAATGTATATACTAAGTGTACAAATTATAATTTTCGGCTCTTCCCTAAAATCAATCATAACGTTAATATAAATTGGTACGTTCTGATCCTATTTGAAATATCGAAGCACCAACCTAAAAACATTAACACGCGATTATACAGCTACATAATTTCAAAGAATAAATGAAGTTTTTGTGGAACAAAATGTCGTTTCAGAAAAAATATTTCCGTCATTACATATTGTTTGCGTTTGAAATAAAAAAAAATACCGCCAAACAAAAGTAATAACAAATTTGATATGCTTGGTTTTCGAAGAAGATGCGGTTTCGTATAACATCTGCAAAAAATGATTTGCATAATTTCGCATAGGAAATTTTGATTTGTCAGATTAAATTCGTTCTGGATAGCCGAAAAAATTTGAAGACCAAGAATTAGAAAAGCAATTAGTTGAAAATTCGTGTCAGACGTAATCAGAACTCGCATAAGCTCTTGAAGTAACATAACAAATGGTTTCAGTTGATTAAAAGAACTAGGACTAATCCAGAAAACATATCAATCAGTTCTGTATGTACTTAATGCCGATAACAAAAAGAAATGTTACAGTACGACTGGATCTTTTCTTTCGTATTTCTAAAAAAACGATTTTTTGTATAAAGTGGTATTTGGCAATGAAAAATGAATGTTGTATGACAACTCGAAAGTAATAATACTGAAGCGGTTCGAATCCATAGATACAGCAACCAGCAGGTGGTACTCGCGGGATTGATATCACTGGGCGCGAAGATCTACTCAATTTTCCCCTCTTTCATTTGGATGACATCACTGGATCGACATGGTTCTTCTCAGTCTCCTCGGGAAGAATGTCTTCATCTTTGATCTTCTCAACGGGAGAATCCTCGTTGTTATCCTTCTTCTCTTCCACTGCACTAAATTGCATTAGAACTTTTTTTCCCATTTTCAACTATTGAACATATACTATCTCATTTTAAATTTCAAAAATTTACTACTTAAATGACAAAAACAGACTTTATAATACAAAAATTCACCGTCTCGCACGCGAATAAGACTGATGTCGAGAAGCATCTTTTGCTGTAGCGAGGCTGTCCAGAAATTATCTACAGATGGCCGTTGTATATAAAACAAGTATCAAAAGTGCCGCCACGAGAAGATCGGTGTCTTTAGTTCGAAGATAGTTGCCTTAGTGTATAGAATATCTGACTATCAAATGCCACCTTTACATATATTGTTTTAAGGTACTGAGCAGCGCCGCCGCCACACATAATCACAGCCGTATGCGCTATCTCATATATTTATCATCTTTTTCTCAATGCATTGTATCTTTCTCTATCTCTCTTTTTCTTCTCACGCACAAAACATTTAATATGTTACGACATGTTCGAACAATGACATCATCAATGTAATTTGATATAATGAGAATGCAACGTTTGCAATTTCATCGACGTATGATAACTTTATATGATTTAACATAATAAACGATTTGATTTAACATAAAAAACGATTTTTTCATGTTTTGAATAATAATAATAATAATAATTTTTGTTTTTTTCATGTGCTTGCATTATTTCAGTTCGAGCAAAAAAATGCAGTCGTACGCAGTGGACTGTGGAAAAATGAACGATTACACTATTCAACTGCTGAGCAAAGACGACAAATGGCTCGAATTTGGAAACCATAATAACCAGGAACGAATGCCATCTACGCTTCATCATCTACGCTGACCTGAAGTGCGTTCTACAGAAGATGGAACCCGAGAGAGAAACGCATATCAAGAGCATGATGTGTTTAGTACAGAATACTATGTGCGATACTCGTATGACGATGAGTTATCGTCGTATCGGTTCATCGCGATGAAGACTACAGCGTTCGTGACAACTCGAAGACTTGATTCATTGCATGAAAAATACCATATCTGCTAACGTATCCATGGAAACGTTGTCGAAGCAACAATGGGAGGCGTAGCGTAGCGCGACACATTGTCACATTTGCAAGAAACCGTTCGCGCCAGAAGATCCGCGAGTATGCGATTATTGTGATCTCACCGGCAAATATTGTGGTACAACGCATTTGAATTGTAATCTAAATAAAATATTCCGGTCATCTTTCACAATTTATTTGGTTATGATGCGCATTTTGTCATTAAGGAAATTGCAACCACGTACGAAGGACAAGAAGATGTATTATCGATAACCAAAGAAAAATACTTATCGTTTACCAAACACATTATAAATACTGCCGAAACAACGAGTCGCGAAATTGTGTAAAATTATGGTTTATCGATTTTTGCAAATTTCTGGACATGAGCCTCGATAAACATCGTTTCTAAGTAGAGACAAATTAAAAATCGTATGTTCCGAATTTTCAATTTTATCGGACGAAGAATTTGGATTACTGACTCGTAAAGGTGTTTTTCCGTATGAGTACGTTGACTGCGTCGAAAAATTAATAGAAACCGAATTATCATTGCATAAATCAGTTCGTTGACGGGCGATATCCGAGAGCGATTACGTTCACGCTGCGAATGTATAGCAGCGATTCTTTAGTCGAACACTCGGCGAGTATAATGATCTGTTAAAGATATCTTATTATCCTGTTATGATGTCTTATTATTAGCCGATATTTTCGAAAAAATTTTCGCGAAAGTTGTGTCGCGATCTCGATCTCACACATTACTACTACTTGCCCAGTTTCACGTGAGATGCCACGCTGACATACGCGCGTAGTTTGAGTTGCTTACGTTATCGATATATGTTTGTATTTATCGCGCGGCTGCCTCAATCAATGTTCCGGCAGATACGCGCAGGCAAATAATAAATACATACGATTCGTCGAAATCCGTCGGAACTTTTGACACGAGCACGATCGCTCCAAATTCAGCCAAAGGTTGTATTCTTGAAATCAATCTCGAGTATCCACAGCATCTATACGACTGACATACTGATCTATCTTTCTGCCCAAGCATGGAAATAATTTCATGAAATAAAGCGTGGAATAAACTCGCGATGTTGTACGATAAACAGTGTTATGTTATTCACTACCGCAATGTGCAGCAATATATTCGTCACGATATTCGCGTAACAAAAATATAGGTTGCTTAACAATTTGCTCAATCTGTCTGGCTCTGCGATTATATTGAACTCAATACATAGTAGAATGCGTGCGAAAAACCATTTTGAGAAAAATTTATATAAATGAACAACGCAGTATTCGGAAAAATTATGAAAAACAATCGAAATCACGTCGACGTAAAGTTATTAGCAAAAAGAGATGGACGGTATGGCGCAGAAGCAATAATCGCGAAACTAAATGCAGTTGTAGCGTTTTTGCGGAAAATTTAATCGTCGTCGAACTGCGCAAATTCGAGTTGAAGTTCAACAAATCGATTTACATATATACTAGACATATCGAAAGTCTGCTTGTATGAATTTCATAGTTCGAGTACATGTTAGTCGATGTATCGTGACAAATGTAAAATTATGTACATCAACACGGACAGTTCTATATACCATGTCGAATGCGAGGATATTTACGAAATGAAACACGATATCGACACGAGCGATTATCCGGCGGACAACGCGTATGCCTCTCGCGAATAAAAAAGTACCGGGCCTAATGAAGGATGAGAATAACAGTATGATAATAATTGAATTCGTTGGACTTAGAGTGAAAATATAGACTCCGGTGAGTGGATAGTAGGAAGGATATTAAAAAGGCGAAAAATGTAAAGAGTAACATCGTAGTCAAACGATAACGTTCGATGATTACA